TTGGCGGGAAAACACGCCGTTGGCTGTGGGAGCAGATCTCAAGGCCACGTGGAGGGTGAGATATGGTCACTGCGCCCTCCCAGGTGAGGGATGGATTTGTCCTCGTGATGTTTTTCTCTCGGGGAGTGGGGGTGGGGTCCCTACAGGGCCGAGGAGTTCCTTGCGTCCCAAGCTTTATACGTAATTTATTTTTTATTTTTTCAATTTTTTCCCCAATTACTTTTCGTTTGGCCCCGTTTCTGTCCGGGTCTGCTCGAATCCGATCCCCTCTGAGCCGGACTTCAGACCTGAAGTCCTGTTTCCATAAGACTAATAAGTCGCGCTGAGCGATTATGCATCTGAGGGTTTCGTCCCCATCTTTTTCTTTTCAAATACAGTCTTTGATGTTATTCAGCTAAATCGTCAAAATACTAAACATATAAGAAAATAATCATACTCCTTTTAAAAGCACGAGTTCGGGAAAATCTTTGTTTAATAAGAAAATAATCATATCATATCATACTCCCTTTAAAAGCACGAGTTCAAGAAAATCTTTCAGTAGACAAAAATACCCCTATAAAGTTTGAACTATCCTATCACTAACCGGTTCTAATTTTTAATTGTATTTAATGATTTATTCTAATCCTAATCAAATAACTTCAAAGTTTAAACTATTCCAATCCTAATCAAATTCTAATAATTTTTAAATTAAGTTTAAACTAATATACCTTAATACGTGATATTATATAATTAGGATATTATACTTTTTTAAGTTTGAAATATTATACACTATCTAAAAGTTTAAACTAATTTATCTACTTAGTTTGAAATATTATACACTATCTAAAAGTTTAAACTAATTTATCTACTTTGCACGTGTAAAATCATATTATGATTAATACTAATTTATCTACTTTGCACGTGTAAAATCATATTATGATTAATTTATTATTAACAATAATATAATAAGGTTATGTTACAGAAAAATATCATATTCCACGTGCTATGATTGTATATATCCTTTAATCCGTGCATTCACAAATATATTATTGTTGTAACGAAGCAAAGTTAAGTTTGAACTATCCTAGCACTAATCAATTCTAATTTTTAAATTGTATTTAATAATTTACTCTAATCCTAAATCAAATAACTTCCAAGTTTGAACTATCTTAATCCTAATCAAATTCTAACTTAATCAAATTTTAATAATTTTTAAATTAAGTTCAAACTAATATATCTATCCTTAATACGTGATATTATATAATTAGGATATCATACTTTTTTTAGTTTGAAATGTTATATACTATCTAAAAGTTCAAACTAATTTATCTACTTTGCACGTGTAAAATCATATTATGGTTAATTTATTAACAATAGTATAATACGTTTATATTACAGAAAGATATCATATTGCACACGCTATGTTGTATCTATCTTTTAATACGTGCATTCACAAAGATAACCAAATTCTTATTATAACTGAATTCTTATTATAGAGGCAATTTAATTTTTATTTTCGTGTTTTGAGATTTGGTTTATTATTTGGTTTTAGGGTTAACAGATTTCATGTTTTAATTCTGTGGTTATCAAATTTAGTTGGGTACAGATTTCGAGAATCGATGATAAGTCTGCTTGATATTTCACCGCATCTATCTCTGCTAGAGAATTCCTCCGCTCACTATTGCTCAGGTATTCCTCGGAGACTTTGCTAAAAACATCAAGATATTTATTGTTATTTCTAAGGTATTCCTCGGAGACTTCGCTAAAAACATCAAGATGTTGTGGTTCAAGAACTTGTATATTGAAAAATGAACTCAAAGGTATATATTCAGATCATAACTTATATGTTCAAATTTGTTTTCAAAATCCGAGTTTTAACTGCTATAAGTGGCTAATTCAATTTTAAAATCAAAATCAAACAGTAATAAACTGTTTGTGTCGGTCGACTGACCATAGACTTTTAGAAAGGACTCTTTGTTGAATCAATCGACTGATATAAAGATCGGTCGACTGGCCAGAAACTTCAAAAAACGACTGTGTGATGAATTAGTCGACTGATATAGGGATCAGTCGACTGGCCAGAGACCGTCCATAGAGTTTGAAAAATATCTGGCCTTGATCAGTTGACTGGTAGACATAACATTCGACTGACCAAAGACTTAGTTAAGTCTCAGGGTCTTCATCAGTCGACTGATAAACTGATTAGTCGACTATCTCAGATAATTTGAAAAATTAGCTGAAAACTTAAGTTAAATTTAAAATCAATTTTGAACCAAAAGTCAAGGTTAAAAAATTAACTAACTTAATTTCAATTTAACCAGTATAAACTAACTCAGACTAGGGGTTAAGTCACCTAGTAATCTATAGTAATCTAAGTCTAGTGTGTGTGTGTGTGTGTGTCATCAAGGCTTTTAACAAAAATTGACTAAGATAGAATGAAAAATTACAATTTTGAAGCACCGCAATTTTATCTTGAAGTCTTATGCCTTGCCTTGCTTGATCAACATGATTGATGTATCTTGTAGCTTGTTTGATCAATCTTTGAATGAGTAGCACTACAATTGAGACATGTTAGTCAAATTTCAATATTTATTATCATCAAAACTATCTGATCAACACTTTACTCTCCCAATCCTCATCCTCCGGTAATCTCAGTAGTTGGAACTATGACACAATTAAAGTCAGGAAATGTATCATCAAATTTTTTGTTCTTAAAAACCTTCATTTTAAATTAGTAAAAGATGATGAATTTGAAAATATGATTGCAGATGGTTTTTATCCCGAATTAAAAAAAAAATTCTCGTCAATTTTGTCAACGTGATATTTTAAAATATTATCATGAGGAACAAGCAAAAATAATTTCTTAATTTTAAACTGTAATTTTTTTAGCTACTGATATTTGGATATTTAGAGCACAAGCTAGCTATTTATGTATCACAACACACTGGATTGATGATAATTGGCAAATGTTTAAAAGAATTATTTCTTTTATTGCATTTGAAGATTAACATAGCGACATTAATATTGGAAATTTAATAATAAAAGAACTTCTAAAATTAAAAAATTTCTCTTTCGCTAGATAATGCAAGTAATAATAATATAGTTGTTGATCATATCAAATCATCTTTGCTATTGTCATGTCATGATGATATTTTTCATATTAGATGTATATTTCATATTTTAAATTTAATTGTTCAAAGTGTATTTGGTGAAATTAAATCCATGATAAAAAAAGGTTAAGACAAAAGCTTATGTTCACAATGCTTCTGAACAAAGACTTAAAAGATGGAAACAATTGTGTAAAAGAAAAATTTTTAAACCCAGATTAATTCCAAAAGATGTTGATCATAAGTGGAATTCTAATTATGCAATGTTAAATGTAGCAATAGACTATAAAGAAATTATAAATAATTTTATTACTTCTATACTTCTAATTCTAGCTCTGGTAATATGTATGGAATAACTGAGGATGAATGATTAGTTATATATAGTGTAAAAGAGATGTTACAAGTTTTTTATGATGCTACTATGTTATTATCTGGTTGTTATTATCTAATTATTATTCAAGCTGCTTTACAAGTTTTAAATATTCAAACTTTTTTTAATAGTTATCGTATGGATAATTATTTTGGAAATACGATTTTTTAAATGGAAAGTGAATTTAATAAGTATTTTAGGCATATTCCTGTTATTTTTGGTTTGTGTGTTCTTATTGATCTATGTCTGAAGGATATTGACCTTCGAAATTTGTTAAATTCTTTGTATGGTAACATGATAATAGACATTAATGATTCAAACTATTACTGCACATACTCATCATAATACTATTAGAAGTTATTTTCAAAGATTATATGATGAGTATGCAGCTAGATATGGTATAAGTACACATCAGCCTATAGCTTCTGTTTCTACGAGTTTAAGTCAGGGCAAATGTAAGAATTTTGATGGGAATTTTTGATAGCTCAGCTAACTGGTGGATTTGGATCCAGATCTGGATCATCAACGAAAGTTTCTAAAATTGAACAATATTTAACTGCATCTTTAGTTAAAAGTTAAAATAATAGTTCCGATATTTTGCAATGGTGGAGGGTAT